GGGCGACACCTTGTGGGTCCCGCGGCCGCCAGCGGCCCACCACGCGCCCACCCCGTCGCCCCCGTCTGGCCCCGGCACCGCTAGCCGGTCGGCGCCTGGCGGTGGGCCTGACATGGCGAAGAATCGGCACAGCTTGTAGGCAGAGAGGAGCAGCGTCAGGACCATTGGCGCGGGGTTGCAGGGAACATCCCTGGCCTGGAGGGGCGGGACCAGAGGAGCTAACCTTGGGAAAAGGGGGACCCGAGAGGAGGTCAGGGGGAAGGAGATGCAGGAGGGAGGGATGAGAGAAGGGTACCAGGCGAGGGCGCTGGCCAGCACTTTGGGGAGGGGTGAAGGCGGGATCAGGGACGAAGCGGTTGGGAAAGGGAATGCAGGCCCAGATACTGGAGGAGGGCTGGAGGAGGGAGCTGGGAGGCAAGGGGTGGACCCAGGCGCCGGAGGGTGTAGCAGGCAGCCGCGGAACAAAGCACCGCTCCGGCTCTAGATCCGCTGGAAAAGGTGCTCTGCAGCAGCCCCGCCCGGGAGAAGGCGGGGACCCCCGGCCGACGCCCACCCTCTCGGTCCCGCCGGGCTCCGCCCCTGCCTCCTGCGTAGCCCCACCCTCAAGTCGTCTCCGCCCCGCCCACGCCCTCGCCAGGCCCCGCCCCTAGTCGCATGCCCCGCCCCCTCCGCTGGGCGCGGGGACAGCGGGCGGCGAGCCCTCGGAGGACTGCCTCGGTTTTAACCTCGACGCTGGTGATGTGTAAGAGTAAGCAGCACCGTTGAGTGTGACCCCTCGCCTGCTAGTAGTTGAAACGATCATCATAACGATTCTGTACAACTCTTGAGGCCTTTTATGCCCGTTTCTCAGTTCAGCGTTACAACTTGCCTATGAGGTAGGACTTAGTGTTCCCATTTAACAGACGAACCGACTTAGGCCCATGGAAAAGGGAGTGCCGAAAGTTACACTCCTCTCTAATTATAGAACAGAAAAAAATCAGCTGGAAACTCTGAGGATCACTTACTCCAGGTGGTGGGAGGGCTTCAGGAGTTCTGTGGACCCCTGAAAGTAGGGACAAAGTCAGGCGTTCTGTGCTAGTGGGCATTTTCTGGGTAAAGGGATCCTACTTCTCACAAGAGTCTTAAAGTGTGGGGAACCAGACCACTCTTGAGGGTGGGGACAGGAAGTGGCCTGCTCAGGAGCAGTGACTTAGTAGAAAACTCAGGAATCAAATCCAGTCCAAAGGGTTAACCTTCACTCAATTTTCTGTGTTGTGAATACCAGCTTGGGGAAATCAATGCACCCAAGAGATGAACCCAGAAACAAAACTTTGTTCTTTTATGGTTAAAAGATTTCCCCAGGGTGCTTACCAGCATTCCTCCTACCCTCCCCCTTTCACTGCCCTAAATACACAATGAGTGGATGAGCCACACAGCCAGGATGTGCCTGATCAAACAGATCATGGATCAATACCATTTATGGAGACTGAAGTTGGGGCTACTCTAGGCACTGGTCATTTTGTCTGCTTAACTCATGTATTCTCCCAACACCCCATAAGGCAAGTATTGTTGGTCTCATTTTACCAAAAAGAAAACTAAGGCAGGTGAAGCAGTTTGCCCAAGGTCACACAGCCAGTAAGTGGTGGAGGCCTTCTTTCTGCCTTTCAGATGCACTGTACTATTTCCTTTTAGAGATGACCCTGACCTTGGCAAGGATCCTGTTTGCAGCTCTCCCAGGCTCTTCTTTCAGGTATGTAACCCTGGGCTACAGCAATCTCTGGGGGTCAGGGCACTGGAGGCTGGGCGGGAGGTTGAACAAACAGCGTCAGGGAAGGCAGCTCACTCCTTTTCTCTGATCCCCTCCCTTTCTGTCCCGCCTCTCCCTCTCTGTCTCAGGCATCAGAGCAAAGAGCACAGAACCCAGTACACCAGGCTCACGCCTAGAGGCCCTGCCATGGCACCCCCTAGGCCCCTTCTGATGCTGACCCTGCTGGCCTGGGTTGTTCTGGCTGATCAAGGTGCAGGAGGGTGTTGGTGGCCAGTTAGGCCAATGTAGGGTGGGCAAGGGTGGTCTGGGCTTGGCTGTGCCAACTGACACCCCCTCCCCACAGAGTCATGCAAGGACCGCTGCGCTGAGGGCTTCAATGCCGAAAAGAAGTGTCAGTGTGACGATCTCTGCTCTTACTACGACAGCTGCTGTGCTGACTACCAGGCTGAGTGCAAGCCCCAAGGTGCGTTCAGAATGGATGGGTGGGCCTGGGGTCCCCTCTGCAGCTGGAGACTCACACCACCCACCCTGTCCGCAGTGACTCGAGGGGATGTGTTCACTATGCCAGAAGATGACTACTGGGGCTTTGATCACGTAAGCACCACTGCCCCCCCACAGCCAGAGAACACCCACCTCAACCCTAACCTGCAGGCCCCATCTGAAAGGATTCCTCAGCACACCCCTCATCTGGACCATGTGGGAGAGACCCCAGAATCAGAACAGGAGGTCTCATGGCCTGAGAGTACCGATCAAGGGATCTTCGAATCCTCAGCAGAGGCGCTGTGCAGTGGGAAGCCCTTTGATGCCTTCACTGACCTCAAGAATGGTTCCCTCTTTGCCTTCCGAGGTGACTCCAGGGGCAGATCTTGGGAGTGGGAGGTCTGCCCTAGCAACATCCCCTCCCTCACACAGCCTCCTCCACTCTAGGGCAGTACTGCTATGAGCTGGATGAAAAGGCAGTGAGGCCTGGGTACCCCAAGCTCATCCGAGACGTCTGGGGTATAGAGGGCCCCATTGATGCTGCCTTCACCCGCATCAACTGTCAGGGGAAGACCTACCTCTTCAAGGTGCCACGCCCAGGGGCTGTGGATCAGGGTTGAAGGTATCTAGGCAGGAGTTGAGGGCTGTTGTGCTGTTGTTGGGCAGGGTCAGCAAGGAGGCTGAATCTTAGCCTGTGGTCCCTGGCTGGGGCTCTGTGAGGACAGGGAAGCCCAAGGTTCCAGGTCTTGGGTGACAGGTCTAGAACTGAGACTGCTGCCTTGGATGGGGGACTCTGCCTCTGTGCCCAGCCTGCCACCTCCTCACCTCCCTCCTCCTTTCCTGCCCTTTAGGGTAGTCAGTACTGGCGCTTTGAGGATGGTGTCCTGGACCCCGATTACCCTCGGGACATCTCTGAAGGCTTCACGGGCATTCCGGACAACTTGGATGCAGCCTTCGCCCTCCCAAGTCACAGCTACAGTGGACGGGAAAGGGCCTACTTCTTCAAGGGTACTAAGGGGGTGGAGGAGCTGGGGGTACTCAGGCAGTGGAGCAGTCTCAGTTTTTTCCCCACACTCCACTGAGGACAGGCCTAGATGATGTGTGTGTGTTTGTGTGTCGTGTCCCCCCCCACCCCCAACCCCGTGCTTGCCCTGCCGGGGCCTGGAGCTCCTAACTTCAACACTTTAACAGCCTCTGGGCTTCCCAGCCTTGCTCATGCCCACCCCTCTGCAGGGAAACAGTACTGGGTGTACGAATTCCAGCAACAGCCCAGTCAGGAGGAGTGCGAAGGCAGCTCCCTGTCAGCCGTGTTTGGACACTTTGTCATGCTGCAACGGGACAGCTGGAGGGACATCTTTGAGTTTTTCTGGGGCAGATCCTTGGGTATGGAGGGAGGGCAGCTCTTGTTTTCTCTTCAAGAGGGCTGGGATCCCCGGGGCCGGGGGAGGGCTGGGCTGGCCAGAGGGGGCTGTAATTGTAGAGCTATCGATCCAAAGCTGTTTGCTCAGGCCAGACTTTGCATCTGTTTTGACCTTTGCGGGGAGGCTTGCCTCCACCTGGACCCCACATCTTGGACTTTGCCTAGCACAGCCAAGGGCACAACCAGCAGAAGGAGGGGCTGGGGTTGATATGGTGGAGGGAGGCCAGGGGAAAGGGCATTAAACAGGGAGTCAGAAGGCAAGGGTGCTGGGCTCAGCCGCTAGCTTGCTGTGTCCTTGGGCAAAGCACCCGCTGAACTGCCCCCGGCTGGGAGCAGGGTCCAGGCTCTCAAGGCTCCCCATTAACCCCTCCCCTGCCACAGGTGGTGCCGGAGAGCCTCGTTCCATCAGCGAGGACTGGCCTGGTTTGCCGGAGCAAGTGGACGCAGCCATGGCTGGCCGGATCTACGTCGCAGGCTCAGCTCCCCTCTCCCCCTTAACCGAGAGCGCTAAGTTTGCGCACCCCGCTAACTCTAAGCGCCGCAGCCGCAAACGCTACCGGTCACGCCCTGCACCCGCCCGTGGCCACAGCCAGACCCGGAAATCCCGTTCGATCTGGCTGTCCTTGTTCTCCAGCGAGGAGAGTGGCCTGGGAACCAACGACTATAACTACGACTTGGACTGGCTTCTGCCTCCCAAATGCGAGCCTGACCAGAGCGTCTACTTCTTCTCAGGAGGTGGGAGCCCCTGCCACCCCTGCAGCTGGGTTAACAGTCGTCCTCCCTGTTCTTTCTAGTTCCCATGAGCTCAACTCAGCCCTTGGGCAGTGACTCCAGAGAGCCAGGCGGAGTCCTTGCCTGCACTGTGATGTTCACTTATCCTTCCAGGAGAGACCCGGGCTTCTCAGGGCAGCAGTGGGCAGGGCGAGACCGGGTCTCACACACTCTCTCCCAACCTCTCTTTCAGACAAGTACTACCGAGTCAACCTTCGCAACCGGCGAGTGGACACTGTGAGCCCTCCCTACCCACGAAACATTGCCCAGTACTGGTTGGACTGCCCAGCCCCTGGTCACCTGTAGGAGTCTGAGCCCATATAGCTGGGCCCTCCGCTGCTCCCTCCTTCAGCTTCCTCCTCCCAGCTCAATAAAGATCCCTTGGCCATGAGTTTAAGATTACTGTCCTGACTGGGGTAGACAGGCAGGAGGGAGGAATCTGCCTGGGTGAAAGAGGGGAAGCTGAGCTGTTAGGATGGCTTGGGAGAGGGGACAGAGAAGAGCCTCACTGTGTGTCCAGCCCATGTTGGGCTCAGGCCCTTTTTTTTTTAGTGTATCTTTATTGATTTCAGAGAAAGGAAAGGAGAGAGAGGGAGAGAGACATCAATGATGAGAGTCATTGATTGGCTACCTCCCGCATGCCCTCGACTGGGGATTGAGCCCGCAACCCGGCATGTGCCCTGACCCGGAATCGAACCCTGATTGTCTGGATCCTAGGTTGATGCTCAACCGCTGAGACACACCAGGCCAGCCGGGCAGGCTCAGGCCCTTTACCGGAACCATAAAAGCTATGGGCTGGGGAACGCCTCATGAGTGCTAGCCCCTCCTCCTGACCTAAGCAGGAGCCTGAGCCCCTCTGATGATGACAGGAGTCACCAAACATCCCTTCAGCCCTGGGCTTGCTTTACCTCTTGGAGTTGACATCTGGGGTCTTGGAGGACAGAGCAGGGGTGAAGGGGTAGAGGAGATGGGGCTCTGGCTCTGTTTTCTGGCCATTCTGAGCCTGAAATGTGGTTATCTCAGACACCTGAGTCCCTAGGGAACTGGTCACTGTGCTCTCCCAGTGACCCCTTTCTTTGAGGACTCTGTCTTGGGTCTGAGGTGCAGGGCACTGAGGTTAGGAGAGGGAAGGCAGGGTCTCAAAGGAAATTCAAATGTACCTACTTCTCTTAGAAAGTGGCCCAGAAGACTTTTAAGGACGAATACAATATAAATACAAACATTTCTATTTTTAAAAAATGTTTTATTTATTGATTTTTAGAGAAAGAAAGGGAGAGGGATAGATAGAACATTGATGAGAGAGAAACATCAATCGTCTTCCTCCTGTGCACCTCCTACTGGGCATCCAGCTGGCAACCGGGGCAAGTGCCCTGACTGGGAATCAAGCCAGTGACCTCAGTTCATGGGTCGATGCTCAACCACTGAGCCACACCAGCCAGGCTACAAATAGCTTACTTAAAACCCCTCAATTGTACCTGTGGAACCTCCTCTGGTTTCAGGTTCCTGGACTCTATGAAGCCCACCTGGGCTTTCAAGGGGCCAGAGAGAAAGGGTTAGATGGAGGTAAAGCTCTAAAGCAGATCTGAGGGAGATCTAGTAGCGAGAGCTGCTCCCAGCCCTGCTGAGGGTGGGTGGCTCCAGCTCATCTGCTGTCCCGTCATCCTCCGCACCCTGTCCAGCCTCAGAAGCCTAGTCCTCAGTTGTGGCACAGGACTCCACCCACTCTCCCCTGAAGGCAGCCAGCACCAGGCTGAGTGCTCCAGAGGGGCAGCTGAAGCACTGGGAGCATTGGAGAGAGGGATCTCTTTGGCTTCCTGGAATGAGTTCTGGGAGAATTTTCAGGAAGTAACAGGATTTCAGACACAGGCTGCCACAGTTTGCCATTCAAGGAGGAGAGCTAGGACCAGCTTCCTTTGTGAAGCCCTGGAGGAGCAGGGGGCCCAAAACATTTGCCCCACCTATACCCTGCCAAGCCCCATCAGTGCCCCGGCCACTTGTCTCTCCTCGAGCTAGATGATAAACCTCTCCCCTCCTGGAGGCGGGGCCAGCTAGCTCTCTGAGCAGGATAAAACCCCTAACGGAGGAGTCCCGTGTGGGCACAGCCTCAGCATGGCCCTCTGGCTCCTCACTCTCTGCCAGCTCCATGGCTAACCCTGCGGATGCATCGCCAACAGGTGATCTGGTGGGAAGAGTGGGCGGGGGGAGGATGTGGGGAGGGTGTGATGGGGGAAATTTGGGCAGGGAGCAGATGCTTCAGG